GAGAAATTTTCACGTACAGCTGGGCGACAAGTGTTGTATCTGGCTTAAACCACGGCCTCTGATTGGCTACTACAGTGCCCTTGCACTTATGCACTGCCTAATTTACTCATACATGTTAGGGGCCCTAATAGTCACTTAGATCGCATTCACAACGATTTGAGCCATGGCTTTACAAATCCTGCAACTAAATATGGCGGACGTACATGAAAGAATCTTTTAATCTTTTAATAGTCTCTCCGCCTCTCACACACCTCCCCATGCGTCGTCCCTGCGGGGGTACAGTCATTAAATCTCGGCTCCAGTGGGACGACACATTGGGAGGCGTGTGAGAGGCGGAGGGACTATTAAAAGATTAGGCGGTTTTTCTTTCATGTACGTCCGCCATATCTAGTTCCAGGATTTGTAAAGCCATGGCTCAACTCGTTGTGAATGCGATCTTAGTCATGTGTTAGACGCTGAAGGACAAGGCTGAACACGCCTCTACAGCCCTTTCGACCAACGTCAGCCACAGCCGCTTCGTGCAGCAGCTGTCCCAGCGGGCAAATTATGTTGTTTTAACATTGAAACAACGTTGAACCATAACGTTGATAAGACGTTGGGTAAATATTGGATTTGAAAGTTGACTCAACCTCAGATAACAACATTGTATCAACCCCAGTTTTTAGACAACATTCTTGCATGAAAGACATTAAAATGACCTGAAATGTTTCTATTTTGGTACAAAACACAGGTACACAATTATAACGTACACTGTAAAAACATCCAAGTGCCTGCTTTGTCTGATTTTTTCAACGCATTTAGCATGTCTTGCACCTAAGCATGGTACACCCTTTTAGACTGGATGTGTTTAGCAGTAGGACATGTTTGATGACTAAATATATGTAGGGTATACACATATGTATACATATATATATATATAACGTTGATCCAACGCGACTATGCCTGCTGGGGTAGCAGCACCACCACCAGTCCACCATCAGCAGCAGCAGCAGTGTAGATACTGAGAAGTTCCCAAAAACACTACTTCTTCTCGCCCATCATGTATTGATGATAAAGATACCTTGATCCTTCATTTGCCTAAGCGGCGAATTTAGAGGGGGGGGGGGGGTCCTGACACCCCCTTCGGTTTCTGAAAAATATATCCCATCAATATTCCCCTCTTGGAATTAGAATTTTGACTAGCTTAATCATAGTTCTAAACCGTACCAAAGGGCACCGTTTGCCCTCTATGAAAGATGGCTGCCATTTCCCATAGAATTTTATGGGTCTCAAGTACATAAATATATGCCTGGGGGAAACAGCGTTCATTATCAGATAAAATATTATTCACATTGTTTTCCACAGTGTTATTTGACCTTTAATATAAATCTAGTTGGTGTCAAGTGCGTTTCCTTGGATTTCATTGATTTATTTAAAAAATCCAGATTTATCACTTTCTGTCAACAGAGACTCAGAAAAAGTAGAAATTGCGACTATATCTTTCACTTCATTTCACACTTTTTTGTTTTCTTCAAAAGGACCTATATCTGATATGTTGAGAATAATCACCAATCATCAAGAACGGCTGGGTCGATGCCGACCCGCCGTGGCCCCCTCGCAAAAAACTCTCCTCTGGTCACTGTTCTGTGCCGTTCTGTCCACTTGAACCATAGACCCGCAGAGGTCTGACAGATCATCGCTATGTGGTAGATACGAGTCGCCAGGCTGTACGCGAAATATTATGAGTGTAGGGCGTGGTGGGCGCTAGAACCTGTTATGCAGATATTGGGCCCTTATTAGCTAGTGAGTAACGGGAGTGCAAGAGACCGTGGACGTGCTTGTATGTCGAATTCAGCACGGCCGAGTCTATTGTAGAACGGTTCAAGTATTGGTCAATTTCGTCCCAGCATTTTTTATCTTTATTTGTATATCATCATGACGTCACCCAGGACCAACCCGAGGTCAGACGGTTCAAGTTCATCGGTCAATTCCGTCAAACAACCCAGCATGCTTTATCTAAAACTTAATAAGTACTCATGTGTACACTTTTAATTCCAGATTTATCGAGGCGTCCAAACAGGCAAAAGACTGGTTTCCACTCCCCTGCCCAGATAGCCATTCATCCAGAAACCCTTCCACAGAAACACGATGAACTAACACTGTCAAAACTAAAGAACAAAACGCTGTTATTCTGGGACTGGAATTGGAATCCTCTTGGATCAAAGTTCTACGACTTAATGGAGGTGAGGCATTGTCCAGTGAAAGCGTGCAAACTTACAAAAGACCGGAGTTTGGTGAAACAAGCAGACGTGGTATTTTTTCTAAATGGGCAATCCACCCCAAAGACAGGTCCAACGTACCGTCACCCTAGCCAGCGGTGGGTGTGGGTGGAGGGGGAGAGCCCCTGCCACTCCCGGCCGCTTGACAAATCATGGGATGGACTCTTCAACTGGACGATGGTTTACCGCGCAGATGCAGACGTCTTGTTACCGTACACAGAGATAGCCAAGAGAGACACTCCTATCAAAAAAGATTACCTTAGTGTTACTAAATCGAAAAGGAAACTGGTGGCATGGATGGTATCCAACTGCAAAACACCTTCACGCCGCATGGACTTTGTAAAAGAACTCCAGAAATACATAGAAGTGGATATATATGGAGCGTGTGGTCCCCTGAAATGTCAACGGTCTGGTAGTTGGGGGTGGGATACCACGTGTTTGGACCTCTTAGCGAGAGACTACAAATTTTATCTAGCGTTCGAAAATAGCATATCTCTAGATTACGTGACCGAAAAGTTTTATAAAACCGTGAACATAGATATTGTAGCCGTTACTCGCGGGAATACAGACTACACTCGAGCAGGAATCCGTCCTGAATGGCATATCAACACCGATGACTTCAACTCACCTAAAGAATTAGCTGAATATTTACACATGCTTGATAAGAATCCAGAAAAATACGTCAAATATCTTGAGTGGAAGAACGAGTATCGTCAGTTTCCAGACCGTGCTTTCTGTCACCTCTGTGAACGCCTGCACTTTCAAGAGGAGCCGCCCAAATCTTACAGCTGGGATGAATTAAATGCATTTTTCTGGAAAGACCATTGTCTCCCTCCAACAGATATATAACACACGAAGAGCGATCAAATAATTAACAAACCTTTCCACGCGTCACTTGGGTGCTTATATTACACAAACTGATTTTCGCTTTTTTTATCTTTAAATTGCCTCACTAGGACTTACACGCACGCTGTATTTCTTGCGAATGTCTTCAGGTGCATCTTTCAGACTATTGTCCTGGGTGACCTCTGTTTTCTCCGTCACTGTGGTTTCATTGTTGTCCATCTGACTGTTGTACTGTCTCGGAAGGCACCTGATTTTTCATGTGGACTCTGCAAGAGAAAAAAAAAGACGTATTGAACTTTTTGTTGTTGACTCTCCAAGGCACAAACAGATAGATATAACACTAAATGGAAACGTATTATCTTGATATGACTTTGTCATTAATAGAAACTCTGTTGCGTTTGATTTATAACACTTGTTCAAGTCACAACTAATTATAATTGTTCATATAAAACCTGGGATAAAATTGTATGTACTAGATTTGTCGTAAGACCAGTAGATGGTTTATTTGGCGAGAAATCAGTGCCCTCGGATCCTCTGTAAGGTTCATATTTGGCGAATTTGTTTGCTACGGTAGCTGCAGCGCTCATTCCCTTAATTCTGTAACTAATCTGCAATAGTAAGTACTATGTCATCTTTTAAAATAAAATTTGTTCCTGAGGTACCCTCTAGCAAAATTGGGGCAGGTGGTTTCCAGAATAACCCTACTTGAAAATGATCAGCATAGTCCAAAGAACATTTGTGCTAAGTTTCATGCTTTTTCCACATTCTGAGCAATTAATTGATATAGCACCAATCATCTAGACTACTAGTACAGCAGTGCTAAAACAGGGCAACCGGTTGGTCGGTTCTAACTTACCTGACCTCATATTTCTCTATTCACATATCTCGCACGAGACATAAGTTTTTTTTGGAAAACAAAACATGTTTTACACAGACATACATTTTAAACTGAAATATCCCAATTCAACGTCAACACTGTACGTGCCTCGCGCCATATTACATAATTAGTTTCTCTGCCGCAATTTTGATTAAAATATCTTCAATTTCTCTTCGTCTGCGGAGTACCCATTGCGGCAGTTGAGATACATGTATGTCATACTCCTCTTCATAACCTCGAGGGAATATAGATTTTAATGCAAATGTCCAATGGATCAAATTATCTTTTACTTGAAATCAGCCGTCAAACAGAAACTTGCAAATGTGTAAAGCTAAATGCCTACACTGTATACCTACTGAGGGGTGGGGCATGGGAAAGCGCGATGTATACTGTACTTTGAATTTTTATGAAATTTTGGGCGAAATTTCAACTGAGTTTTAAGCAACACATTTCACGGTACCTTGATCGATATCGTGATATGTTCTTCCATTGTGTATCCAGATATGGGATTCGTTATTTTTTAAACATTTTGATTCCTCTAAAGCAATACATGCATATCCGATACATTAAAACTTAAAACATTCGAAAATGATGGAGCTCAGGTAATATATACAAACGTTTATTACAATAACAGAAGTATATTGATGTCAATAATTTTTTATTATCTTATATTTGTCGCCCATCGTGTTCCTCTATGAGTTGTCATACCACGTTGAGAGCTTTGCACTGTCATCAAAAATGGCAGTTAACGATGGCGGATTCAGGATTTTGCCAAAGTGGACGGCACAAAAATATCCCTCACTTCCCTTTGTAAATGTAACACATAAAACAGAAGACGAGGAAAATGCTGGTGTAATATAAAGGGCGAAGGTCTACTTGAAAAAAGAAAGATCGATCTGACTACAGTAGTTGTCGAAAGTGAAAGTACCGACGTTTCCCCACATGTTGTCTTCCGACATTGTTAGCACATATATTCAAACGTAAATCTAGATTTCCTGTTACAATATTGTACCAAACAGAAAAGATGTAAGAAGTGGTAGCCATTACTCGTTCTGTTCGAGTGCGTGAAAGCTGAGCTGTGAGCTGTCTTAGATCAAGGTACATATTATGATACTTATAGGTGTGGCAAATGAGATATACTTGTATTTCATTACCTGTGATTTGTAAAATACATCAGAGGATGATACTTTTAAAGATGTTTAATGTTTAAAGAAAAGACATGAAGATTGATTTAGTAACATTTACTAAATATATGTTAAATTAAAGATGGGCTTCATTTGTGCCTTGATCTAAGACATCCCCTGCACATGCCATACAAACAAATTGGCAACTTGGACACTTAACTTGCCCATTATGCTGTTAACAATCCAGAGACACCATAAAGAATGGGCCCAGCCAGGGCGTAATAAACATGGGGCCTGGGCTTTTTATGCATGGGACTAGATTTGATCCGGACCTTTGACATTTACATACACAAAAGCTTTAACGTTGACACATACACCAATAGAGGTCACTTCATTGCGAGAAGAAGGGCTGGGTGCTGACTCGCCTTCGTTGAAGGGAAGAAGTTCAAAATGATTTCTTTATTGCGCCTTGTCAAACGTGCCCTGGTCCTAATACCGCTTGGCTTCGTCATCGTGATATTTTTATGGAGTCACAGTGAACAAGTTGACACAGTGAACAGTATCTCAGGTGAGAATACCATACACTCTCTACGTTGAAGAAATCAGGCTGAAGAGAGCCGGGGGGGGAGGGGGGTGTATATTATGTATAAACCTCACATCTGCAGTAATCACGTACAGTTTTCAAAACAAAGCTTTAAATAAAGTACGGGTAAAATACAACATTATACAGCGCAAAAAAGGTCTACACACCAAGTAATAGTTCGAGAATCAAGGTGGTTGACGTTAAAGTAGGTCGGATTTCCATATGAATCAAAAATATATAATGCCACTATCACATATCGTGTCACTATAAGGCATGAAAAAGTATATACAATGATGCCCGGATAGCGTATTACATGAAAGTTTACTCCTGAACGCATTCTTGTTTGCAATTAGCTATGAAAATTCCAAATATGTTATTCATTTGTTAACTGTTTTTACATATGTCGCTGAAATTTCAATCTTGCCTGTGACATACAGTCATTAAATGCAAAAGAAATTCGCAAGTATATTAATAGCCAAATTTTTAGTTAGATTTTCCTAAGGATCATGTTTACTGTCTGTATGTAAAATGTCTGGTTTGAAAAAGGCTTGAAAAATTAACATTGTAAATCCTAAATTCGACAATATTAAAAATATAATTATTTAACGTCATCAAATCGTATGAACTGAGACCAGGTCACGCCTTCTTCAAAACTGACAAGTTTTATTCAGATCTGATATTGAGAAGAAAATTAAAGAAAATTGGCCAAAGAACACCTTGAATAAGATGCAAATCCAGGCCCCTGATATCCTTGCCATGCAGTGCTTCGAAAGGAAACCGATAAGCTTTAAAATGCATCTATCAAATAAATTGAATACATCGCCTTAACAAAGTGTGCTTTCCCAGAGATTTAGACCCCATTTCCATAGATTTTAGATCGATCTATCCCTGTGGGGAGTCTCACTAGATAACTGTCAGCTNTACGTGGATAGATCGATCTAAAAGCTCTGGGAATACAGCCTTTCACGTACGCTGTATTTCTTGTCTTCGAAGGCACCTGCTTTTTCATGTGGACTCTGCAAGAGAAAAAAAAAGACGTATTGAAGTTTTTGTTGTTGACTCTCCAAGGCACAAACGGATAGATATAACACTAAATGGAAACGTGTTATCTTGATATGACTTTGTCATTAATAGAAACTCTGTTGCGTTTGAATTATAACACTTGTTCAAGTAACAAATAATTATTATAATTGTTCATATAGAACCTGGGATAAAATTGCTAGATTTGTCGTAAGACCAGTAGATGGTTTATTTGGCGAGAAATCAGTGCCCTCGGATCCTCTGTAAGGTTCATGTTTGGCGAATTTGTTTGCCACGTTAGCTACTTATTCCCATAATTCTGCAAGTTATCTGCAATAACAATTGTTCCTGTGATACCCTCTAGCAAAATGTGGGGAGGGGGGGTGAGAGGGGGGGAGGTGGTTTCCAGAATATCCCTGTATTAGACGTGGTTCAGCCCAGCAGGCATAGTCGCGTTGGATCAACGTTGAAAACAGGTTGATACGTTGAATTGCCGTTGATCTACCTAAATTCAACGTAAAATCAACGTTGATCCAGCCACGTCAAAACACCATCATAATGTGACGTTGACTCAACATTATATTTTGGTCATTGACACAACCTTGTAGACATGGATTGTAATTTAAAATATTAATTATTGAAAGCGTGATACTTTGTTTATCAATACTGTAACTAACTTTATCAAAATAATAAAAAAAGTGTTTTAAAGTAAAAGTTTTCTTTTGTGTGTTTAGTGAACTAGTGAATTTTCTTAACTTGTTATTCAGAAATACATTCCAATAAACTTCCTTGCAAGGTCAGCTAACAGCAGGATGAATAAGTTGCTGTAAATTTGATGGAGTGAAGTTAATAAAGTTGACAGTTCTCGGTACCCTGTTATAGATAGACAGGCTGAGGTGACTGTGACTTTGTTATATATAAGAAAATAACTATATATATATATATATATATATATATATATATATATATATATATATATA